AGTTCACTGCTCTCTCGTTTATCGTTAATCAACTTCTAATGAACTGGTTCACTACTCTCTCGTTCTTCGTTAATCAGCTTCTAATGAACTGGTTCACTACTCTCTCGTTCTTCGTTAATCAACTTTTAATGAACTGGTCCACTGCTCCCCCGTTCTACGTTAATCAGCTTCTAATGAACTGGTTCACTACTCTCTCGTTCTACGTTAATCAGCTTCTAATGAACTGGTTCACTACTCTCTCGTTCTACGTTAAATCAGTTCATTGGATGCTGATTAACGTAGAACGAGAGAGGAGTGAAACAGTTTATTAGAAGTTGATTTACGTATTTTCACATTTATATACCGTGATTTTACACGTATTAGTGGTCACGATGTTGTTTAAAATAATCGCTTAATATCGTACTGTTGATTAGTGCTAACATCAAACGTTTCGTGATGATTTATCCTAATACAGATTCGACATTTTAATCTCTGTTTCGTGAACAAATGTTATCCGGTCGAAGTAGTTGAAAGAGACTACCGACTTTCTGAAAACTTTTTTCCTGTGAGCATGCGCAAACATTAAATTAGTTTTTTGTTTTGTTTTTTTCAGTTGCGAATTACGCCAATTGGAATACTAATATAATGGATATATAGGCAATGGCTCCGTAATGTTGGAACGATGCAAAATAATTTCCTTCATCTTTTCGTAGTGTGAGTGTAAATTGTATGAGCAAAGTGCAAAGTAAACACGTGGGACTCGTTCTTTCCATCTGGTGAAATAATTTCAAATTTTGTCACCAATTTACGTCGTCGTTCTCGTCATATTTAGCCAACGCGCCTGTCATTTCTTTCGAAAACTGATTGTCTTGTTCTATGTTTTAGGCTTGAAAAAGATTTTAATAACAATATGTTATTTCTAGGGCTGTTGCACGACATTATTTTCTTGTCTTTTTTTTTAGGTTTTGGTTTCGTTACATTCGAAAACGAAGACGTTGTGGACAAAATCTGTGAAATTCATTTTCATGAAATTAACAACAAAATGGTGAGTACCGATTTCTTCTTTGTTCTGGTTTTCTATTTATTTAGTCCACCTGGTGGAACAAGTGGTAAGTTTAGGGATTCACAACGCTAAAATCCAGGGGGTTCTATGATATTTAAATAAAAACTAACAAATTATGTTTCAATCGGTAGTTTTTGCCGTTAACCTCGCTAAGGACATTTTTAACCCTAACATAATTTTCATTAGTCTCCTACCTCGATATCTGTAATGCGATATTAAGTAACAGAAGAAAACACAATGTTCAAAATCTTATCATATAAAAACCTTTCAGTAAATATTGGTAAAGGTTGTCACTTAGTAATGACATTTCGGACAGTGAGATGAATTAAAAGGACTCACTCCATTTATCCGGAGATAGATTAAAAGTACACGCCAGACAAAAGAAATATTAGTGAGTGATGGGCTAGCCATCTAATCGAGGGGTTGACGGTGCATCAGGCCTAAACCACACCCACTGTTAGAGTCACTTAAATCGTAGCCCAATTAATTAAACTTTTCGGACAGGACAGCGTTTGTCGTGTACAGGAAATCGCACAGTTGATTGAAAGGACTAAGAAAAAAGGAATCCTTTAATCGTAGCTAAAGATTTGAGCTTGCACACTTGATGTGTTGTTGAGAAGTAGACTAGCTGACGATGTTCACGTTCACACTTCACAGGGAAGGGAAGAAATACACGAGACGAAGAGACTGTGTGATACTCTGAATCTCAATATATATTAAAGTAATCGGTTAACATAGTACATGAAAATCTCAAGATATGGATCTAATAGTTTATGTTTTATTTGACGAACTACCACTGCTTTCGTAATATATTATTATTATTTTCCCTGATTTGTTACCAGTTTTCTTAACACTCTGAAGTAATCGATTAGTACGTTCCCTCATTTGTTACCAGTCTTCTTAAAACACTGAAATAATTGATTAATGTATTCCCTCATTTGTTACCAGTTTTCTTAACACACTGAAATAATCGATTAGTGTATTCCCTTATTTCTCAACACTCTGAAATAATCAATTAGTATGTTCCATCATTTGTTACCAGTTTTTTAACACTCTGAAGTAATCGATTAGTATGTTGCCTCACTTGTTACCAGTTTTTTTAACACTCTGAAATAATCGATTAGTATGTTCCATCATTTGTTACCAGTTTTTTAACACTCTGAAGTAATCGATTAGTATGTTCCATCATTTGTTACCAGTTTTCTTAATACTCTGAAGTAATCGATTAGTATGTTCCATCATTTGTTACCAGTTTTCTTAACACACTGAAATAATCGATTAGTGTATTCCCTTATTTCTCAACACTCTGAAATAATCGATTAGTATGTTCCATCATTAGTTACCAGTTTTCTCAGCAGATTGCAGTGAGAGATTAACACTTGTTTGTATTTTTTAGTTTACTAAAATATTATAATTTTATATGATTTAATCTGTTAATTGTTCTCAACATTCTAGAATGATCGATTAATGTGGGTTTCACATTTATATCTTGTAACTTAATATTATTTATTTAAAAAGAAATATCTCGTTGCTCTGGTGTATCGACTTAAAACCTGAATATTGTTGCAGGTTGAATGTAAGAAAGCTCAACCTAAAGAAGTCATGATGCCTAACGCCGTTGTACGAGGCAGAGGATCAGGCAGAGGGGCATTCGGTAAGCTAGCTCAAGCCGACTTGTCAGATATGTTCTCTTGCGATAATTACCTCTGACTAGTTATTTTTACGGTTAATTTAAAATATTATACCAACACGTACTTTTGTCACTAAACTAGGTCATGAAGCTACTGATATTAGAAGAAAATCCACTCTTTACGTTATGTTACAATTGTTTAAAATTAGCTATGATTTCCCAACGAACCGGAGATTAGGCTTAACGAAAGTTGTCTTCAGAATAGGGCACGGTGGTTATAATGAAAGTGTTGATAGTACAAGCTAACGGAAAAACCAAACAACGTTAACCCTAGCGGTAGTACACAAAATCTTAAGACATTGGTATAAAAGATTATTTTTGTTTTAGAGCTGCAACAAAAGAACCGCGTTAGTCCATTAGCTAAATGACGTCCTCAGTGTTTTAAATGTTTCGTACTCAGTTTCACGTGCTTAGTTCAACCATTGGAAAGTTTGGGTGCACGAACAATTGTAGGAGTTAGTGAAATTTTCAAAATGTCGATTTTTTTATGAGAGGACGTAGTTCACATGTAATTAAAACGGAAAAATAACAAGGCTCTGTTAGATGAAACCTTTATACTTTTTCACTAAAATCAAATCACGATGATTAAACTTTGAATACCTTTATTAATTCTCAACAGTTATTCTGGAATAATTGTCATTGTAGTGTTGCCTTAAACTAACCTATTGTACTATTGAAAGATCCCTCATTAGCACTTTCGCCGCCAAATCTATTATAATAATACTCAGTTTTTTTTCGTCCTGAAAAGGCGCATAAAAAATGCGCATGCGCACGGATGCAAACAAAAGGCGGATGTAAATATACTTTAGTAGACATTCTGTACAACTTGTTAAAAGCTTATCAACGTTTTAAAAAGGTCTAACGTTAGGTCGTAGAATAACATTATAAGTTTATTTATTGATAGTATTAATTACGATAAAGTTTAGCCCTAACAAAACTAAAGCAAAAAAACGTACACAAGTTACGGTGTTAATTTATCTCTTTATCGAAAGTAGGCCATACTCAAAAAAGGCTAAGCAAATGTTAGGCCTAAGACAAGTAGACTTACAGATTTCGGTGTCTGCCATTAGGATTCTTTTGTATAATTCTAGAAATCCTGTATTTAAAGAAGTAATGTTGCAGTAAAGATACTAATTTGATCCCAAATGCTTTGCAGGTCTCTTCTAGTACAAACGTAACCTATATTCTATATGTTGTTGTTATTGGATTATACATTTCTTTTTAATACGAAGTATAATTTATTTACGTGAAAACTCGTAATTTTCTGTTCGTAGATATAATAGATTGTTCAGCTTCGCTTAATTATCATTAAAACTGGACTAGTAAACTTTTAAAACTGTACAGACTCCTAAATTCCGTACATAAACTGATTTTCTCGCTGGATTCTTCCACTTTCAGACCTTGTCTGGCCGCTTGGAACATTAACAGATGGTAAGTCATAACTTGGTTCTTGGTTCTACAGAACTAGTGAATAAGCTACCTTTATGACCATGTTTAAGTGATAACTTGGTTCTTTGTTCTAAAGAACTAGTAAATAACCTACCTTTATGACCATGTTTAAGTGATAACTTGGTTCTACAGAACTAGTGAATAAGCTACCTTTATGACCATGTTTAAGTGATAACTTGGTTCTACAGAACTAGTAAATAACCTAGCTTTATGACCATGTTTAAGTGATAACTTGGTTCTTGGTTCTACAGAACTAGTAAATAACCTACCTTTATGACCATGTTTAAGTGATAACTTGGTTCTACAGAACTAGTAAATAACCTACCTTTCTGACCATGTTTAAGTGATAACTTGGTTCTACAGAACTAGTGAATAAGCTACCTTTATGACCATGTTTAAGTGATAACTTGGTTCTACAGAACTAGTGAATAAGCTACCTTTATGACCATGTTTAAG